GTGTGTGTGTGTGTGTGTGTGTTTGTGTTTGTGTGCTTGTGTGCTTGAGTACTCACCCGTGTTTCATTGCAAATACTCCTCTGAAAAAAGAAACTCGAAGCAAAATGGGGGTCGATATTAACCGCGGGTAATATCTTATAAACATTAATTAATTTCTAAAATAAAACAAAGCAAAAAAACAGAGAGAAACGTTTCAAGTGCTCCCTCTCCTATATTGTTTTGTAAAACTTTATTAATATCTTAATTGCAATATTATAGTAACAATATAGGTGCAGGGTTATTGCTTGTACATGTATTTCTTTATTCACATCACATCTTTCTAGTGTACCGGAAATTTGTGTTGTCGGGGTGCCGCTCTAACCAACAGCGCGATACCATCTCGATTAGAGGTGATAACTCTTGTGGCTTTCAGCAAATAGCTCAATGGATCTCCCTGGGGGGAGGGTGCGGACTTCGGACAACATGGTGGACGCAGACCGCGCATCCATCTCGCCAATGGCTGCTAATTTCTACGTGATGTGAGGGTGCCCAAAACTCGCCTCGTTCACAGATGAGCTGAATTTGGCATGATTTGTATCGATTTTGTGTCAACGGGGAAAAACAAGGGAAACTCACCCACCACCGCTGGTTTTAGTAATTACCTCTGACTGTTGACGTCACTGCACACAGGCTAAAGTTGAAGCAAAGGTCAATCAGGGCTCGACGAATGCGTTATATCTGTCTACACCTGTCTAACACAATACGGGCGAGTGACGTGCCAGGGGCAGTAATGTCGTCCTCTCACGGGGAAATGGTGGTTGTACTCCATGTGCACCAGCGTCTGTGGTGTAGGGGTTAGGCGATTAGATGTCGCACGCAGTAGACCCGACTTTGAATCCCAAGTGGGCAGAACAAAATTTTTATCGAGTATCTCGATCGTTTTGCTGGGATATTGTTTCTCTCTCAACCCGGATTATTCCTGACAGGCTGAGTCATAAGCCCGATGCCTTCTAAATGATCTAAATTGTGTCGATGGGAAGATTAAAACACCAACTTAAAAAAGAACTCCAAGAACTGGAGGGATATTGGTATTTGATCTAGTGAAACGGACACTCATCTGGGGTGTAATGGCTTAACACCTATATGCCTTCTTAGATCTAAGACATGCACACACAAAAATAAAACGCTTGCTCGCTTCCCGAGAGCAAAAGGTTGGGGTGTTGTTGTTGTTGTGTTTTTTTTTTTGGGGGGGGGGGTTGTTATTTTTGTTTTGTTATTGTTGTTTTTTTGTTTTTGTTTTTGTTTTTTGCTGCGGGGCTTTTATGTTGTTGGTTTTTTTCGGGGTTTTTTTTTCTTTAAACCAGATACGGTATGTCAGTCTTTCTTCTGGGATGTTGTATCCATTCCAACTCAGCCCATATTGACAAGGTCGAAGCAGGCCCAAGCAGAAATAAGCGGGAATCGAACTCACGCCTTTTACAAACGGCGATGGAGAGATCAACCTTTACCGCATAGATATCAGCAGTGTAGTCTCAAGATGACCTGGCAGTCGACTGGTGTCCCCAGCAGGACAACGCCATCTGTCAACACTGCCACAGCGATGTGAGAGCTTCTTGAGCACCAGACAGACAGCTCGTACACTGATAACAGACCATCTTCACAGAACATCTTAGGACTATAAAGATACAATCCGGTATTCATCTAGGGAAACGTCGCTTCAATGCCAACCTACGTCACTTCAGGTCTCGTTATTGCTTTCATAACAGTACAGTTTGCGATCTTCGGTTGACGCTTCAGCCTGATGTTCGTTCGTGGCTGTTGTCGTCGTCATCGCCCTCGTTGCCGCTTGAAGAAAATAAGCAGCTGTGATAAAAAGAAAATGAGGAGAAAGAGAAAGACGAGTAAACCAAATCTACGCGGATTTTAGTTTATCATGTACATTAAGTCAGCCCCAAAAGTCCCGAAAATCGACGACCTTCCCAACTCTCGTGCACACACACACACACACACACACACACACACACACACACACACACACACACACACACACACACACACACATTGTCTGCAGTTTCCCATGGCTTAGCACAGCGTCCCATGGTGTCACAGGGCAATTCGCCATCTTGACTTAGTCTCAAGAGTCCTTGACCCGGAAATCAGTCTGATAACCAACCACATCTAAAGCCAAGGTCACACGGTGCCGCACGACTTC